TTTTCGGACGACTGCCTACGACCCGGCATGTATGTACATTGTACGGTGTGTCTGTTACTCCGATACGTTATCTGTAAGTTGTAACGATAAATATATATATATAACTATATGTGATTATTATGTGTGTCCGCCGTCGTGCGTAATAATAAAATAAACAGTCGTACTTTGTCAATGCTCGTGTGTGTACCTACGTCTGTCATATATAAAATACGTAACACCCCCCATAACAGCTGGATTATACAAACGAAATCAGTTTGTAATAATGTGATACATTTATTACGAATTCTAAAACAGAATTACTTATTTGCAGTGTTCGGAACGTTCACGTTCGTTCAGTAAAATGAACGCGTTTATTGGACGTTCATTTAATTTCTTTCCCCGGTAATTACTAATTAAAATTAAAATTCGATATCATAGGAACTATAATGGAAAATATTATTATAATATGATTAATTAAAATATTTAAAAAATATATTTATTAAATGGTAAATAAATTAAACGTCTTAAAACTCGATCAAGTTCATTAAAAATATAAACGTCGTTCACGTATCGTTCACTATTTATGAACGTGAACGCGTGAACGTGCGTTCATGAACGACGTTCTTTCCAAACACTGCTTATTTGTTACTAAACAACAAATAATAGGTAATAGGTATAACAAATAATTGAAAAACATGAGAACATGAGAAGGTTTTTAATTTAACACACTATAATTACCATTTAAATATAATAATTTAGAATCTTAATAACATATTATTATATTAACTATAATTGTAATAATAAAACAAAATTATGCTCTAGTAACCTTACAATTAACAAGAACATCAATAATGAGAGGAACTTACAATGACTTTAATAAAGTAGAATCATTTTAAAACTTTTTTATACGAAAATCCTTTTGAATTTTAATTGTATATTTAGGTATACTTTAACAAAGCCAGCTAATGAATAATAGTTCATAATTCATATTTAATTCAAATTCAAAAAATCAAAAAGAACAAACATATTATATGGTATAACATAGTTAAACATGGTCTCATGCATGCACTGGGCGGTCAGTAACTCCTGACGCGACCGTCGCCGCGCTGCAGTGCGTGTGATAAGAACCACTTCGGAGTACAGAACAATCAACAAGCACATTAGAAGTTTTCAATGTTGTCATATCGGCGTGAACACCGGCTTCACTCACGATCGGACGCCGGATCCACCGATAAGTACATACTATACATTTAACACGCCAAACCTAACCTAGTACGTATCGGTGAAAAGCGTGTAAAATCGTTACTTAGAAAGTCGAAATGGATACCGACGACAAAGGGTACACGATTACCCACGACTTTGTCAAAGTAAGTAGATTCCACGTTATTGTGGTTATAGACTTATTATAATCTATTGCCTATTTAGTTATTATGTGGTGTATGCAATGTTATAAGTAGATAGCGATTTCATCACCATCTTCTTGGCATTAATAATGTGTCTAGTTGAATTAATGTCAGATTATATAAAGTCGTACTATATATATAATAATTTATGATAAATGTATATTCAACATAATCTCGGAATATAAACCCCTGACATTCAAGAAAAAAAGGGAAAAGAGTACTGACTATAGGTCAAAAAGTCAGAAAAAATACAATTATTAATTAATTATCAACAAAATATGAAATTTCGAGATATAGGCACCATATATGGTGAACGTCATTCATTTTTTTAAATTGAACAAGAATGAAGTTTATATTTGATTGTAATTGAATAATTTTTAAGACACTCAATTTATTTGCTATTTAATAATTATATTATAGGATAATATTGTCTTTTTATAATTTCTATTCATATTATAAAGAATATAATGAATGACGTAGTGAACAGATTCATTTTTCCAATGAATGTGAGCTTGAACGTCTTCATTTGAAAAATACATGAACTTGAATGAGTTTCTTTTTTAAAGACTAAACTTAAACCAATTCATTTTTTTAGTGAACGTTCCAAAGATTTATCATAGCCCTTAAGTGAAAATAATAACACAATAGATGCTGTTTTATGAATAATGACCAAACCATGTAAAAGATAAATAGACCTTAAGGACATTTTATGTTTGGTACTGTACGTCTACATTTAGAGTTAAACTTCATTTTTCCCTACCCATAAGCTGTAATATGTTACAATGTAACTAAAATTGAGTTTGTTTTTAAATTACAATACATTTATTTTAGGGTAAGTGTCTTGTTGCAACAAAACACTTTAAAGTAGATGATGTAATTTTTGAAGAAGAACCATTTGTGTCCTGTCAATTCTCTTGGAATAGTCTATATGGTTATCGTGCTTGCGATCATTGTCTTTGGTAAATATTACATTCTTATTGTGTTATTGTGTTTCTACACTTAATTATAATATTAATTATGCAGCCCTTTAGAAACTGTCTCAGAAAATATTCTCAGATTAACAAATGCAGCTATAACAGAGGTTCCCTTTGAGGAACATTGTCCTGTAAAAGATAAAACACATAACTATGTGCAATGTGAATCTTGTAAAGTGAGGATTACTTTCTTTATTATTACCACTAAATATTTTCCTTAAATTAATTGATTTTGTGTTTTATAATTGTATAAATTATATATTAATTTACTGCATGACAGCACAGGTTGTAAATAACAAACTTATAATTGATGGATATTAGGTTTGGTATTGCAGTTCTACATGTTTGGAAACTGCATATAATCGATATCACCAGCTTCTTTGCAGACCAGACAGCAATGATTCATTACATTCTTTAGAAGAATTATGGAGGTAATTAAATTACTACATTTTTTTATGTCCAATTTATTTTAATACAACTAAAAAGGAAGAAACATTTGTGATAAGTAAAAGTGTATAATAACTATTCATTAAATATAATTTCAAGTAAAGATACATTTGTAAAGTTAATAATACACTACTTATACTGAACTTTTGTAGTTGATGCTGGGTTGCATCAAAAATTAATTAATTCAACTGTCCATTCACGGGCCACTTGATTATGTTTAAAGGACTATTAGTTCACTTTTGACTCATTTAATGTTGGTGATTGCTTCATGTAACTGTATGTCTCAGTTATAAAATTACTTATTTGTTTATTATGATGTATAGAACAATGCATTATCCTCCTGAAAGCCACAACATCATGTTATTGTGTCGTTTGTTGGCAACAATTGAATTATCTGCATCACCACAACAAGCTAATCAAACACTTTCCAATGTAAATAAATTCTCTATTACTTACCTTATGTCTTAACTATAATTATTCAATATTATTTTTACATAGTTTTGCCATCGAACAGAAAATGAAAATGAACATTTAGTACATAAAATGCTTGGAGAAAAGTTTGTTGAGCAAATTGAACGACTTCGTTTTGGTGTTCTCAAATCTCTGCCAGTCAGAGAATCTAGCCAGGTGAAGATAAAACAATACTCAACTAATAATTCTGTTCATTCTATAATAAAATATTTTTAGTGGCTTACTCCGACTGGTTTTAAATCATTATTGGCATTGGTTGGAACAAATGGACAAGGTGTTGGAACGAGTGTTTTTCATCAATGGGCAATTAATTGTAGAAAATGCCTTTCTTCTGATCAAATGGAGTTATTTGATCAATTTATAGAAACTGCTTATGATGCAATGGAAGAAGGTAGTTTTTTTTTCTTTTTAAAAAAAATTGTTATGCATTAATTATGGTCTCTGCTAATGGGATTATTGTATTTTAATTTTTATATTTAAATGTTATCTATAATTATATTCACATGTTCCATAAAATTATCTAACATTTAAATAATTATGGCCACTATCTCACTAATATACCTTACCTCCAGTATCTGCATTCTTCAATACTTTGTCTGATGTATAGTTACTACATTATTTTGTGTTGATTTTTGTTTTAAATAGCTGTTGGAGTGGATTTTTTGGATAATGAAGGTTCTGCTTTATTTCCAACACATAGTTCGATCAATCATAGCTGTTTTCCAAATGCAGCAAGTGTTTTTGATGGTAATCATGTTCTAAGATTGGTTGCTATTAGAACGATTGAACCAGGTGATGAAATCAATATAAGCTACATTGCTCCGTGTGAATTGGACCACTCTAGGCATACTAGGCAAAAATATTTACAGTATGTTTATTTATATTATTTATATTAACATTACCTTTGCAATTGAATGACCTTTTAATTTCTTTTACTTAGACAAAACTATGTATTTACTTGTCGGTGTATTAAGTGTGAGGAACAAATAAATGATCCAGACATAACAAGTGATGATGATTCAGAAATGGAAGATGCTAGTAGTACCTGAGTATTTTTTTTAAAATTTGTAACTGAAATAAAATGCCATAAAAATAATCCAAGTCTTGTTTACATTCTTCAAATATTGAATTATTTGGGACATAGGTCTCAGTATAGAAAATACTTGAATATTCTATTTTTAACTAATAAATGAATAATATGCAGACAGAAACTTTTACAAAAAAAATCACAAATGTATAATGAATTACATTTTTTAATTAACAATTCAAATAAAGACTTATATTTTATCCAAGATACATTTGTCTATATATTTTATGATGCAGAAATAGGTTTGTCAAGAACAATCAAATTATTGCTGTGTTCTGCTAATTCCGTCAATGATACTCTTCCACGTTTTATGATGAATGAAGCAACTGCATTAAGTTCAGACTGTGATATATATATAAACTTTCCTCTATCATCAATTACACCTAAAATTAAGATAATAATTAATGTGATATTAAAAAACAATAATACACATTTATTCCACATACCAGTTAATGAGCCTTCTTCTAATAAACTTTGAATCCTATCTATTACAATTTGAGTTTTTAATTTGAACTTTAAAGCGAGCTCATCTAAAACAATTACTTTATTTTCCTGTAATTAAAAAAAAGTCAATTCATTGTTATTTTTCCCATTAATTGCATTAAAATTTCATTTCTCAGTTGATTATAGAGTACTAAGGTTCTTCAGAATAAGAGTATACCGAATTTGTGAATAAATGGTCTGAATGATGTATTGTCTCCCCCCGGCAATGGCTAATAACTCTATGATTGGCTACCCACTGTCTTTGGGAGCAATTATAAGTAAAAGTACGTAAGAACCCCTAGTCCAACATGATTAACGCTTATTTACATAATTCGTTATCACATTTTCTGGATATAATTTTATAAATCGTGAAAAAAAGCCCAATTAAATAAACACACCAGAGAAAAAGATTTAAATACAAATATGAACACATGTATACATAATCAGTGTTTGGAAAGTTAACTGAAAAAATGAATTTGTCCACGTTCACATTCATGTTTTTTCAAATGATTTTGTTAATTTAATTTTTTTAGTTTTTTATAATAGAAATTTAAATAAGACAATATTGTTTTACAGTAAAATTAATCAATATATTTTAAACATGTATTTGTTAAATGCTAAAAAAAATTAAAAATCGTTCAAATTCATTAAAATATAAGCGTTGTTCATGTTTAAGATGAATTGGGAAAAAAACGAGGATGTGTACTAAGTCATAGGGTTGTTAATGATGTGTAGAATTTCATAATGTCAAAAAACATCAGTCTTGGCATTAATAATAAGAATATAATATACTATTATTTCAATGGTCTTGGGTATATACTACATTTAGACAAAAATTACACAACTATAAAAATAATATTATAATAAGTCAATATATCACAGGTGATAGCACCAATAATATTAGTTAATCGCTGAAGTTCAATACAAAGGGAATTGACATGCTGTTTTTTTTTAATTGATCAGAGTAACATCGACCAATAGGCCATTAGTTATTATTTATGATTATATTCTGTTATCTACATTATTTAATATTATTGTATTATGGTTTTTTGAATTGTAATCAACAAAATATTTTTAAAATATAAAATAGTACAATTGTATGACACTCGCAGGGACATTTTTTTCTGTTGTGTATTTAATTTTTTAGGCTTTTTTTGTGGCCCCCCCCCCCTCCCATTTTTTCAACTAGTTATAATTTTGCCAGTAGTAGGTAAGCTTATTATATCATTAGCATTACCCAATATATATATGTTATAGAATTTGTGTGCATGATATCACAATTTTTCTATATTTTTTTTGTTTATTAGTTGGTCCACCCACCAAGGAATATAAAAATTATTTGAAGTAAACATGTTAAATTAGTTAATAGATCAATTACCTAATTAAATATTGCAATTTGAAATTAACAACACAAAATGAATTCTTTCATACTGCGACCAAGAGGATAACCAGATAGGTGCTGGTAAAACCAGTTTTGTCCCATGACTGGTCATCGTCTTAACTTGATCGCAATATAAAACACACATTTCTGACATTGTAAATTAGGAGATCGATACAACACATGTCCATCAGGTCTAAGATATTTTGAGCAAGTTACCACCATTGAAATTGTTTATTATGAAATTAATAATTAAGGTTTCTAACCTTAATGTGTTCGATGAATTGAGTTAAGGTAGCTCCTTCATCCTCTAATGTTTCTTCATAGCCTTCTTCTTCTATGCCAAAAGTCTCTTTCAATTGTATGTACTCTAGGTGCTCTTTTTTAGCCTTTTCTTCTTCGATTTTCTTTTCTAATGCTAATCGCTCTTGCTCTTGTCTCTTTTCGTGATCTTCTTTAGCTTTCCTTTCTGATTCTTCTGCATCTTGTTTTTTTTTACGATCTTCGCGTTCCTGTAAATCTGCCTAAAAAAAATTGCATCGTTTAAGCAGCTAATTAAAAATATGCTTATAGACTGAAACCAACTTCTCGTTTGGCTTTTTTCTCTGCTTTAGCTTCCAATTTTGCTCGTTTTTTAGCTCCTAGTTTTGGATCTATAGCAACTATGACACTAGGGTCGGCTGTAGCGTCATCAATTTCAGCATTTTCATTTCTAGGTTCTGAATTAAGATTGTAAAATACATTTTTTTTAAATTTAATTAATTAGGTATCATTTAGGTTACACTTTTACATATTTATATTTATATAACTGACGCAACAATATTTATTATATTTCAATAATTTAATATTATCACAAGGCTTACCTACTACATTCCGATTGTTTCGACGTAATGTGTTACGATTTTGCATGCGAACTCCTGGTCTAGGTCTAACCACAGGATCATCTTGTACAACATGCTCAGGTGCACCTAAAACAGTTGTATAAGATTATTTTTGTACTCTCAAATATGTAAGTATACAAGTGTACTTTAATATGAACCCACTTTGAAAAAATTTATATCGAAATATAAAACCAAACAACCCAACAATGACAGATGCGGAGAATATTGAGAGTAAAACAAACAGATCCATCGTACAAAAAATATTAAGATAAGTAATTTACTTCAATACTAACGATTTACTTCGCTTCCAAGTTAAGTCTCATAAGATAGATAAAACTCATAACTTAATTTTTAGTACCACCACTATCACAGACGTAATATCGCACTCAGTTGTATTTCATTTACTTACGAGTCTCACAAGTTATTTTTATTTAACATTACAAATTACAACTAATTTACAAATTTACAATTACCATTCCCCGTTATTATGCCAACGGGCCATGATTATATCACTATATTAGTGATATTCTTATCAAAGGTACGTCATAAATACATATACAGATAATATTTCCATGGTATAATGTTCTGTCGTTCTATTAAACCATATTTTTTCCATTTTTCGCCGTAATTCAAAAATAAATAATTATATTAATTGTGGCTCGTGCGGTCATGGCAGTAAGTTTGTGTTACATATATGTGTAATATATTATGTTCAGTAACATAGTTTATTATTATCATCTAGTGCGCAAGTGTGGTATACGATGTACCACCTTGAACAGCGCCCTCACGATTGGACGCCGGAACTACAACAACGTCCCGTACTCCCGTTTCTTAGTATAAGGTCTATGCCACATTGCCAGGATTACGATTTACGAATACTACAATCGTGTCCATGATGACGTCCTGAACCACGACCATAACATTACGGACATTATCAATAGTTCAATGTTACGAACGAAAAATATTTGAATGACGTATTCATTATTTCTCGATAACCAACATTGTTTCTAAGTTCATAGTATACACACCGCCGAAATAATAATTACTGTAAAAACTACAAAGCTAAGATTCGTTCATTTACGTTAGGTATAAATTAATTTTGTTGAAATACCTATTATTCTATTCTAGTTTGATGTTTAGGCTTAAAGCTTAAAGAAAATGATTTACTATCCCTTTTTCCTATTAAGTGCATATTTGTTGAGTTCAGTTCAATGTTTGTATTTCCATATTGGCGAAACAGAACGTAAATGTTTCATCGAAGAGATTCCTGATGAAACCACCGTAGTCTGTTAGTAACATATTACAATTCACATTCCATATTTATGCAGGGTCGCATAAGCAACCACTAGCTATTTAATGAGTCAATAGTGGCTGTTAATGCCCCCCCTTAATTTAGTGACCCATTATTGGTCTATTAAATTTTAGTGAACCATTAAATAAGTACCTATTTAATTAATAATCTCACTTCGTTTTCAGCACATTATAAAGTAGAACTCTTTGATGTGAGGACCGGTGGTTTCACTCCACCAACCCCTGGCATTGGTATGAACGTTGAAGTCAAAGATCCAGATATGAAAATAATTTTATCCCGGGTATGTATCATAGCTAATGGCTAATCATTGTAAAAAAAACAGTATCGCGTCGTTATAACACTAAAATATTTTGTTTCTTATAGGTTTACAGTTTCGAAGGTAAAATATCATTTACATCTCACATACCTGGTGAGCACATTATATGTTTGTATTCCAATACTACTGCATGGATTGGAGGAACACAATTGGTAAACAATTACTATGTTTTTAATACTTCTGTTACTATTAATCAGTTGTGTTAATGTAGAGAGTCCATTTGGATATCCAAGTTGGTGATCAGGCTATTGATTATGCTCAAGTAGCTCAAAAAGAAAAACTTTCAGACTTACAACTCAGGATCAGACAACTAGTGGAACAAGTTGAACAGATCATCAAGGAACAAAGCTATCAAAGAGTAAATATGATTAAATGTATAAATTAAAAGTAGTTAATTTTAGAACTTAAAAATTAAGTAGTTGAAACTTGATAAATCCAAAACTATTAGAAGAATAATGATTGAGAAATCAACCATTTTTCATTTAAATACCTGAGCAATTTCTGTCAATTTATAGACCTAATTTACATTATGATCTATAAATAATTGTTGAAGTTTAGGAAGATAGTACTCGTTGGTACCCATCTCCTTCTATAACTGACAATTGTACTTAACTATTTGAATACCTAATATTGCTAAACCATTTTATATATAATAGAAGTATTAGGTAAGAACTAGGATAAATAGGTCATAATAACTGGTAATCCTAACAACTAAAATTGAAAAAATAAGTTTCTACAAAATGGTACATCTACATGATAATACTAGATTATAATCATAAAACATAGACTTCAATAATGTTATGCAATTAAAAAGTGTATTGTATATTTATTAAATGGTAAAATATTATTATTATTATTTACATAGGTAATGTTAAAAAAATCAGTTAAATTTGATTGTAGCAAATTTTTTTTAGTATAAAAATTGTGTTGCATTTTCGATTCTATTTTTACATTTTGTTTTTGAACTTCTATTATTAATAGCCTTTTAATTTGATGCTGAATTTTTTATAATTTGCCTTATTTTGAAATGTATTCTTATCATAAACTGTTGATAGTATGAGTTGTATGTCCGATATATTGTGTGGTGATAATCGTTAAAATATTTGTCTAAATTCTTAAATTTATTGCATCTTAAAATAAACTTCATAACATCTATATGGTGATTATAACATAAAAAACATAACAATAACCAATTAGAATACCTATACAACAGGAATTTTGCGGAGACCTTTAATTTTAGGTCATTACACTTAGTATATCATTACAACCAGTATCATTCCTCATCAAAAATTTCTACTTGATTCTCGTTGTCTCTATATCGACATGGGATTCTTGTATGGAGTGGATATTATCTACCTTAATTTAATGTGAATATCCTACTATTATTTACTGTAGCAATCTTTATGAATAATTTTTATTATTAAAATTGGAATTTATTTGTACACAATTTTAGCTAATTATTTAAGAAAATTATAATGAAAAATATTTTTGATGGTAAACGTAAAAATGTGTCTAAATATTGCCTCTAAGCAACTGAATTCCATTTAAATTAACAAATTCTTATCTGTTAAATGAAACAATAATAATATATTAAACTGATATGGCAAAACTCTAAAATATATTAGATAATATAATCCTCTATAATTATTGTAGGTGATTTTATATGAATGTTTTTTATCTATGTTAAGAGTCTGCGCCTGAGAAAGGAAATAAATACTGAGATAGCATACTCTAAGGTTTTAATATATTATACTTTGTATATATTCAACTTTATTTAATTCTATAATGTGTATTACACTGTCTGCCGTCAGTTCCATATTTTTATTAGTAATTTCCCATGTAAGATAATATGTTAAGTGACATTGCATTTCACCATGATAGCAGCATTTGTTGGTACTCGTCTATTCTCCGTTTTGCTCATGCAGACTGACAGCAGTGAGCATTACTAGGCTCCGTTTCCTCCACTTTGTCCCTTAAATATGCGTGAATTCAACTGCAATGTGGTCGGGACATGGTTTACTTCTCTCATGCTGCGGAGTACAGTATGCTACCCACTTCTACTTTGTCGGTGTAGCATACTACCTACTGATTATTGATTAACAACAAATTCACAACAATATTAGTAACAATGATGACTGATGATCATTGTAGTAAAGTATTTTATAATATAGTTATAAGTTATTATATATTATAGAAAACGTTGCATACAGTTTTTTGTAAGGTAGTATACTAGACTACTACCATTTTGCTTTATATAGACACTATATTATACTTCATCCAGAGATAAAAAGGGACTTTATCCAAAAATCGGTTCTTACGCAACACCCTGCTTAATGGAATCTGTCTTGATGTTAGGGTGATACATAGAGATACACAGAACCAATGTGTCCTCCCTGAACAAAGTAAAGCTGTATTACCAAACTCCCAAAATTAAAACGTATTGAAACCAAAAAACCCCATTCAGCTTCCCAGCGGTGGGAGTTTGTATGATATAGATTATGCTGTTCAGATTATGAAATCAAGCCTTAGTTGAGTCCATTGTTTTTGTTTCAGAAAGCGAATATTTTTATGAATAAATTGACTCTTATTATTTAAAAAAGATTTTATTTGTTAGGGAGCAGTTATGAATTTATTATTAAACAAAATGTTCTTTGATAGCTAGTAAATGGCAGCAAAATCTTCAGTCCCATACACATAGTGATAATATCAACAAACTTTTAGTAAAAATGTTAAAGACAGAAACAACTAAAATATAAAATACATAAATTGATGTATTGATTTTTTTTACACTTCATATGTTAAACTTAGAACTGAGTGGATATAGATCAGCACAAAAATAATTCACATACCTGCCTTTAAATATAAATACAGAATTAATTAATTTTGTTGGTAACAATTAACATATTTTTCAATACCATCTTTTTAGTATGAATATATTATTTTTAAACTCTATCATAAGTTCTTAGCCATCTTAATTTATTTTAATATTAATAACAATAATTTTTATAATTACAGTTCCGGGAGGAGAGATTTCGTCAAACCAGTGAGAGTACCCATCAACGAGTTTTCTGGTGGTCACTTTCACAGTTATTCATACTTTTGATCATGGGTTTCTGGCAAATGCGTCACTTAAAAAGTTTCTTTGAAGCTAAAAAACTTGTTTAAATTAATAATTGAATGTTTTAACAAAAATATAAACCCATCCTCAAATGTATTTTTGTACATTTTGTATATACCATAAAAAAATGATGTACTCTTTATAACTATTATTAATTCATGATTTTTCTGAATATATGAATGGTTAGAATTCTACGTTTTTATGTATTTTTTTTTATTAAATAAAATAAAAAATGTAACAGTTTTTTATTTTACAACAAAGAATTGTTTGTTTAATATGCAAATGAATATTTGCATTAATTAAAAAAAACAAATTATAGCGTATAAACTCTTTAAAAAAGTATCTATAAATATTATATATATTAACTTCATTGTGTATACAAAACTTAATATTTTTAAGAATAATGAAATATACATTGTATTGTAATAATTAATAGCAACAGGGTATGAGGGCAATGTTGGCACATATGGCTAAAAAAAAATCAACAAAAAAATAAATATATAGTACATAATGGTATGTACAGAAGAGTCAATCTGCTGACATAGATGATAGACTACTGCGAGTGGAGCTTCTGTGATGATAAGAACGATGATGAGAAGGCGGGCTAGAATTTATAGGCAACATACTATTTGCCGGCCCAAATATTGCTTCTTGTTCTTCTAACTGTACAGCAAACTGTTCTTCAAGTTTCTGAAATGAAATTTGATAGTGTAGTAAAGTGGTTTATAGTGATGTGCATACCTCTTCCTTCTACATTAAGCACACTGGCTATAGTAGGTAGAAGAAAGAATTCACACACAGATAATAAAATTTAATCTGATTTATAATGCAAAACTCAACATTGCTTGCTTGATAGGCTTTCAACAGATATAAAATTAAAATTATAATTCATGCTAAATATATTATGTATGAATAAATTTAAAACAGGCATTAATAATTTAAAATTTAATTAAAAACAAATTAATAAAGTGTTACTTACATAAAAATTTTATCGTAGCAGCACTCAGGAATAAGCAAGGATAGAGGATGCAAAATAAATTAAGCGTGTTTTCATTCAATTTATGGTGTTATTACATGGGTTATAATAACTTTAATATATTATATAAAATATCAGAAGAGTCAGTTAGTATCATTGTTTAAAAATAATAATAAAATATAGAATTGTAGTATACAATAAAAAATAATTATTATAAAAAGCTTGAAATTATTTCTATAACCATTAAATAAGCATAATCGGTGCAAGTAAATAATAATAAATGCAATAATGTGTTTCAAATGTATAATTTTTGAGTTCAATACTAAGCAAAGTTTTGTTCCTTGTCATGCTTAAATTTAAATTTAAGTATCTTCTACTTTTTACATATTTTCTATAAGTACCTTGATGATTAACCACTTTGTAACTTGACTTTAAAATGATTGTCAATAATGAATAACAGGCAAATTACGTCAGTCTTTAAATTTTGATATAGAAAATTCTCAAATTTAGTGACAATAAAAATATACAGCGATACATACATAATAATATATTATTACAATATTACCAAGTATTGAAAATAATAGTATTTTTAATTATCATATTTTGAATAATAATTAAAATAACTGATGATAAAATTCTGATAATTATTACAGAAAACAGATAATACCATAAGAAAATCATAAACTTTTTTGAACCTAAGATTGTTTGATATTATTAACCTAACTATTAATTGATAGGAAAATATCCATTGAGCCTTTATACTTTTCACTTAAATTCTGTTTTTTAAGTAAGAAAAGTTAAATAACTGGTACATCACTGAGATAAATTTTTGTATTATAAAATTAAGTAAAATTAAAATAATATTTACAACATAATAAATAAGAAACAAATTACTTTAACAAAAATATTAAGTATTTATAAGAAAATTAATTTTATACATTTTAAATGAAATGTATTGTATATTGGTATACTTATATATAAATATCTATGGCATGTGCAAATGTTATACAATTAATACATTTAAATAAAGCATTTTACATATGTACAACACATAATCCACACAAATAAATAAAAAATATTTTCTGATTTATATTTAAAGGACAATGTTTGTTAAAATAAATCTATTTTAAATTAAAAATTACTTAATATATGGAATAATATAAACCAGGTTAGGAACACACTTTCCATTAACCAAATGATGACATGTAAACACCATTTGGAATAGTACTATAATGTTTGTTCAAATGCCACCTTTTAGTTAGAGCTCATTCGGGATACAAGACTATTACATTGTGGATTGGTTCGAATGATTAGGAAATTGATTGACACATCGCCTAGGGAGAAATCCTGAACCAGGAGAACGAAAAGAAGAACTGGATAACCGAGGAGAAGAGAGAAGTGATGAAAACGAATATTCGCGCCTGAGCAACGTGTTGCCAGGGGATGGAGGTAATGAATAGCGACTGTTCCATGAATTTCCTTTGGCTTGCCTCGCCAACTCCATCTCAAGGTTCTGATAAAAAATATAAACTATTGGTGGACGTTTAAATGTAAAATTCAAACTACTCTACCCTTTTTCTATAATGGGTTAAAAATTAATAGTTATTTATAGTGTTATTTAATTATTTGGATAATTTAATAAGATGACCAACATATTAAGAGAAGAACTTTCACGAAAATTAAAATAATCTACAATAGCAAATGACTAGTTATTAATTAGATAATTCAAACTCAAGAAACTACATCCATTGGCGTAAAAAATAAAATAATATTATATCAAAGTACTAACTTTTCTGTACATAAATAATGTTAATAAATGTAATACTTTCACAAATTACCTGTTTCCTAGGTTTGAGATGAGCTTTCCATTCTCTCAACTCACGAGCATACAACTCTTCTTGCTCTTTCAACTTAGTTGTTTCATGCTCCATCAGCATTTTACCTATTAAGACAAATTTAATTATTTGAATTTACATTAATTAAAAGAAAAATTATTTAAGTAGTACGTTTTTCATTCTGAAGCTGTTCAAGCTCCCTAATAGTGGTGTCATTTGCAATTCTGAGCTCTTCAAGCTGTCGTTGCTGCTTCATTTCAAATGCAAGAGTCTCATTACGATATCTTTTTTTTTCATTTTCTTGAAATTTCTTAAGCCGGTTACGTTCATACTCTGTATCTGGATTTGGATTAGTTGCCATACTTATTCTAACCGATTCACGGAACATCATCTCTCGTGCTTTCATTTCAGAACGAATACGTTTAGGCAAAGATCGTTTTTCAACACCTTGACGTTTTTGCATTTCTTCATCCTTACGTATATTCATACGTTTCATTTGTTCCAACTCTTTTTCATGTCTTATTAACATCTAAATGAAAATAAATCATTAGTCATAGAAATTTAAAAAAGTAAGTTTTTAATATACTTGATGCCTCTGCAAGAAAAAACCATCTTTAAGCTGTCTTTTAGCTAACTGTTGTTTTTCATGTATTTGCCGTTCTTCCATTTCCCACAAAGCTGCTTCTCTAGCTCGCATTAACTATAATGTTATACAAAAATAAAATAAATTATAATATTATGATTGTATTTTTTATTAAATACAGTAGTCTTGCTAATTCGGTCATCACTAATCTGGACTATCTATATTTCGTGCTTTAGTACTCATGTATGTTTATATTTGGGAATACAAATGATTAAGATATTATTGTTTCGATTACATATCTATTGTGTAAGTATTATTTTTTCAAGCGAGTTCAGTCTTATTTTTTTTAAATTTGTATTGATATATATGTAATACATACATCATAATAATAACAATAATAATGTGTAATGTAAAATTGTAAATCAATTAATTTCATATTTGTATGGATACATAAGGTGTTTTTTGTTTATATTTATTAGTAAGTTAAAAAAAGACATCTCGTTTAATCCGGATTTTTGATAGTCCGGTCCTATCTAGTCCGGATTAGCAAAACTCTACTGTACATAACAAATAATAATAAATTAACAAAATGTCATAAAAAAAATTTATGTGTGTTGTATAAATCTATACATGAAATATATAAAACTTAACCTTTGCTAAATACATGCACACAGTTTATAAGTACCTGTTGTTTCTGTTGTAAATATTGACGTTCCATTAGCGCAATTTTCTCCTGATGAGCATCACTCAGTCTACTCAAGGAACTTTCATGATTTTCATTTAGTTTCTCAAGGAATAATTTTTCTCTCTCCTCATGTTCAGTCTCTAACTTCTCTTTTTTATCCTTAAATAAATTTTTCCGCCTTTCTTTAGGCTTTAAATCTACTTCTTGCTTTAATAGTCGTAACTCTTGTTTTAGACCTTCTCGGAATTCTTTTAATTCTCGCTCCTAAATCAATAATAAATCAGTCACAAAAGTAAATACAAATTTATATTTTAAAATTATTATTACTTGTTCTAAACGAATTTTTTTAGAAGTCATTCTTAAATCTGCCTCTTGTTGGGTTTCAGCTCTCTCGACAGCTTGACGTTGTTGTTTAACCATTGTATCTAAATCAGCTTCATATTGCTTAATTAAAGTCATTCTTTCCTGCTCAAACTTTTTATCTTGTTGCTCTTTAGATATCACTGCCTTAAATGATAAATCTTGAAACTGTTTTTGTTCTTGTTTTTGCAACATTTTTAGTTCTCTTAGTTCTTGTTTTCTAAATATCTGATCATTGTATCCATGACTGGAATCTTCATCACCATAAATTACTTTGCTAGTTGTTGTTGTCACAACTACTCCATCTACTTCAAACTTTCTTGTTCGTTTTCTTGTCTTTTTTTTCATGTTTCTTATTTCTAGTTCTTCTTTACTTATATTTCGACTAGTCCTCTTCATTTCCTAAAAATTATTTACACATTGTTAATACAATAATAATAAGTTTAGTTAAAATCATTTGTAATTAGTTTTATATGGCACAAAGACGTACACAATAAGAAAAAGAGTAAATTAAAACAGAAGTATCAGATTGTTGAAAAAGTTTCTAAGCTCCTGAAAAACCTGAAAATATCAGGGAATTTTTGATTAGTTTAATTCAGCTTAACTCAGGGGGATAAGAAAAAATAAAGAAAACTAAAAAACCAAAAAAAAAATATTTACATCATAATATGTTTAATGGTGACAATAATTGTCCAGCTTTGCACAAGAAGCTTTGCTTTTCACAATAGAAGCTAGACAGCGGAAAAAAACATTTTTACATGCAGGAAAATCTACTCAAGTACAAGTAAAAACGTAGATAACCAGGATCACATCTCGCAAAATAAATATACTTCATATAACATGTTAAATCCTAATCAGATTGTTATTGAAAATGTTGATGCACCTTGAAAAAAATACTGCTCACACTACAAGTATTGAATGGAAAATTTTACTGAAAATCGTGTAATTTTGAACTCCCCTACACCTAACAATCCTATCATATTTGAAGACAGAAAACATCTGTTTAATATGATAATGATAATTAGATGTTAAAACAAAAGTTCTATAAGATACATAACAATTATGAATATTTGAATCAAGTTTAAGCGTTGTTCCTACAAGTGTATCTCATTTTACTAACACATAAAATAGCAAATTTTATAATCAGAATAATCCAGTTTTAAATAGGTGAATTGACATTGGATTTTACTCTGTAATTATTAATCCCGATCCAGGTTTAATTATATTCACTTAGCTAAAAAGTATAAAGTTCATTGGATACAAAACCGGAACATTAATTTATATTCCATATATCTTCGAGTTACCATATAGATCTCTCTAGTTCTTAATATTTATATGATTGTTAACTTAATTTTCATGTATATCTTATTTGTTAATTTATACCAATTCAAAACAATGATCAGTCAACATGGGATAAACAAGCTTTAGATAGTTATCTGGTCATTGTCTTAACTTGATTGCAGTAAACTCAATAATATAATTATTCCGTGTTGAATTTTATCCCATAAAATCTATTTAGTTAATTATTTCATATTCATATATTTATACTATGTTAATTTAAAAAATAAAATTGTAAATTTTGTGATGCTCTAACTGTCATACAAAATATATATAGAAAATTAATTATTGTTAAGCATAACGTGGTAAAAATAATTTTTCTAAGTGTAAAAGTTGCCATGTTATATGTTAGTAAGACAGATGCCTTCTAAAGAGTTAATACGTACTCTGCTATACTCTGGTTTTTTACGTAATACAACTTCATCTTCATATTCTCGAGGAGGCAAATTATTCTCTTTATTACTACTCCGACTATCATGACTAATTGTAGTTGAAACACTCTCCGCATCTGATCTATCAAATGTACGTGTACTGGCAGCTGAAGGTGGAGTTCGCTGGCCTCCACTACTATACACTGATCCACTATCTGAATGTGAACGAGATGTAGATCGTGTTGGGGAAACATGGTGTTTATTATTCACCACAATTCCATCAGAATGTTTAGACTAAAAAATTACAAGTTATAAATTATACTTTTTAATAATACCAATTAAATTTTTTTTTTAATAATTACCGATTTATGTACATTTGTTGAATTGTTAACGACAATATATACTTCTGCTGGATCACTGGGTTTAACCATTGTAGCCCGTCCATTCATTTTCACTTTATTGCTATCTGTATTTACAGGTACACAAATAGGTTTAGAAACTTCAACCTCTTCTTTACTATTCCATGGATCTAATTCTTTAACAGAAGGTTCTTCTCCTACTGTTATAACAGACACATGACTAGCATCCAATTCTTCTTCGTCAATTTGTGACGAATTTATCACAACAACCTCATCTTTTTTCTCAATCTTGAAATAAAATAGAAATTAGAAATTATTTTAAGACTACAAGAGCAAGTTAATTAACTTTAGATAATATACCTGTGACTTAGTGTTTGTATCAGCAACTATAATCACTTGGGTATGTAGTCCTGGAGGATGTGTTTGAAGAACAGGGGGATGTGTGGTAGTTACAACAGTAACCTTTGAATCAATTGCATTCAAAGATCCTACCCTCACCAAAGTACCGCCATTAATTAAATTATCATTTTGTTCAACTAGAATTATAAAAGAAAAATAATGAATTATTTATGCCAAGTCATTACATTAATTTTTATTGAACTCTGAATAAAATCAATTTAGTTACTATTATCTTTATTGTGTATTCGATCAGTCTCATCTTGGTTGTTTTGAAGTCTCCCAGTCAATTCATTCATAACAGCAGTTGGCATCTTTCCTTTATTTTTTTCAACATTCTGATTCATTTGTAAAACCTTATCTAAAGATGGTGGGGAAGGTCTTCTTTGATTACGATTAGAAGCAGACGAACTTCGTCTTCTAGTTCTTATTTGAGAGTCTTCCACAGAATTTACAATTGGACCATTATTACTAGCAGCTACTGATATAGGTCGAGAGCTGGATATATCATGTTTACGTAATTGTATTGATTGAATAGATACAGAAGGGTTTTCCTCTACGCCAATATCAATAGGTTTTTTTTCTGTTTCAGAATTATTGTTAATAGAATCGTGCATTTCTGAATACTCATTACTCTTAGATTTTGGTACTTCAAGTTCTTTAGGTTCAACCACTGATTCTTTTTCTTGATTAGTATCCTGAACTTTTAATACAATTGGTATATTCAGTGACTCTTCATTTGGCACTAATTTAACAACTGAAGATGGTGTTGGTAAAGGTGGCGGTGGTGGTGCTGGACCTTTGTTTTCCGAATGTTTTTTTACAACCTATACAATTAAATAAATTGTAATAGTTATCTAAGTAGTGTAAATAAATTACATAATAATATACGATAATAAATTTTTAAATATATATTTATACAATGGAAGCTTCGTATCTCAAATTTTTTGTTTAGTCCCAAAAAAGGTTTCAAGGTTTTACTGTGTAAAGTTAACATACATTTTTTTTAGAAGAAATTTCTTTTGACGAAATAATTGGCTCGGATTCACGAACATCTAAGATTTTTTCGTCTGTTTTGATTTTTTTACTATCTGATGATTCTTCATCCATCTCTCGTTTTTTTTGTATTTTTTGTTTCACTTCAGCTACATCTGCTTGAAAAATTCATATTTTAAGTATAAAAAGATAACGTGTTAACATTAAATTCCATACTATTACATTTAAAAATAAGACTTAGTGCTTTTTTTTTTGACATTTAAATTTTTACCTTTAGTTTCAGGATCACTTTTAATTGATACAGTGTCATCTTCGACTGCATCCAAGTCCAGGGGAGGTAACTGTGTAGATTGTGGTGATTCCTATGAAAATGTACAATATCAAAATAGGTATTCAACATTTATTTACATCTTAATACTATATGAACAATACATTATTATACAAAATTATATTTTACTTGGTGGAAATGCTTAAACCAAAAATAAAATATATAACTGGACTGTGCACACAAGGGTTAGGATAACTTACCACCAACCCTTTGATAGTAGTTCCTGTTTTTTCTGTACTTCCTATCACGTGTAGACTACGTAAGCATGGAAATAAATATGTGAATACATTTTATTTATGTCAATGTAAATATACATGAATGCGTACACAAATAATCAAATTATAAGGAAATGTATTTACAATTTTATAATAAGATACACACGACAGTGCTAGACTTAAGCTCAATACACAAGATGTAAATAAATATATTTTTACCTCAGGCTCTTCATCGACAACTTCTTCTTCGACCACCTCTGCCTTGTATTCAAGTAATAAATCGCGGATTGGTTTTGGATCTATATCTCCATTGACAAATGGGTGCTAAATAAAAAATTCAAATTAATAACAAGTTAAATATAAGTAATTTAACTAGTAAAATTACTTTAAGAAGATCATCTGCAGTTGGCCTTTGAACTGGATCTTTTATAAGAGCATGTGCTACAAAGTCATTAAAATTTTTAGACCATTTAGATGGTTGTTCTAATTTAGGGGGATCAGATTTTTGTATTTTAAGTAATACACGCATAGGAGACATTTCATGGTTTGGAGGTTCCATCTGTGCTAATTCTATAAGTGTTATTCCTAAAGACCAAATGTCTACTTTAAAATCATAAGGATTATCCCTAAAAGTTTCGCATAAAACTACTTCAGGAGCCATCCAATAAGGTGTTCCAATAAAAGTATCATGTTTTTGTAATGTTTGTTTATTCTTAGCAGAAACACCAAAATCAGCTGTAAAATATGTAATAATAATACAAATTTTGAAATTAATGTGTCAACAATATTTTTAAAACTTACCAATCTTAACACCAGCACTAGTTGTTAAAAGAACATTTCCAGCTTTAAGATCACGGTGTATAACTTTACATTTATGAAGAAATGCTAATCCTTCACACATATACTTGCAAACATAAGCTATTTGTTCTTCAATTAATGCACGATCCAGCTCCACCATAATTGAATCTAAAGCACCTCCATCACAATATTCAATCAGCATCTATTGAATATATTAAAAATTAGATACAAACAGAAATAATAACTTATTGTAACAATTTACCCAAAGTTTAGAATTAACAAAAAATGCTTCATATAATTGAACAATATTTGAGTGTTTACATTCGGCTAAAATATCAATTTCAATCATAAAATCAGCTAAATCATCTTCACCTTCTAAGATACACATTTTAGCAGCAGCCAACTGTCCAGTTTCTCGATGTTGAGCCTTAACAACACATAATAATACAACAAAAATATAACTTTTTTTACAGGAACAATTTTTATTTATAATTAGGGCAATTTTGCTTAATTAACCTAAAATGTCAAACAAATTCTAGTATTTAGAAAAAACTATCAACAATAATCAATAAAAAATATTTAAATAATAAGTAAAAACTAAAGATTATAGATTCAGTTTTATATTGGAATAATTTCTAAATTATTTATTTCATGAGGTTCTAAAATAGAACAAAAGAAAAAAAGAAATAGTTGTAATAGAAATATAATATATTATAATAATAATAATAAATACCTAGGTAATAACTGAATATTTTAAGTGGAACAAACAACAATATACATTACATTTTTAAGCAAAATGTTAATTTAATTTGTGTAATCCATGAACTTATTCTTATTGATAATTAATACTTAGTAAATACATCATTTGAAAAAATTACCTTGTAGACTTTGCCAAAAGCTCCATCACCGAGTTCACCAATCATTTCCCAAAAATCGTCAACGTCACAATCCATGTGGATGTTATTGAATACTTTCTTCTTTTTCGCTTCATTGTTACCTAAATGAAGCACTTTCTTGAGGCCACTCAAAAACGACATTTTAATAATGCCTTTACACAATGTCAGAATCAATCAGGATGATGTACTCGTAAGGATCGCATGACCCAACAGTTCTCAAATTTTGCATTTCCTATTAACATATCAAAAACAAAAATTCCGTAAAATGTTAAAATAAATATTTATGCTCCATAAAAAAAGGAACACAATATATTAAATAAATTAAGCATATAAGTATAAATTAACCAAGTTAGTATCAAATAATGTGATTTATTTAACATGTTATTTTCATTCTGAGTGTTAATCAAAAATACTGTTTATTATTTAATACATAATACCGTTAAAACTATTAAGCTCAGGAAAAGTTCAAGGCCACTATTAGCGCAAATAGTATTAACCTGTTTTATATGTCTGTTTAAAAAAATTCTAATCAATAGAAACAACTAAAAATAATATATCAAATACTTATAATGTGATACAAGAAAATTAAATTTAAAATTTAAAAATCATTAATTATAAATATGTACAATAGGTTTTTACTAAGATTCAAGTGTTATCATTGGAACAAATGTTTGTCCATCACATTATAATTTAATTTTTTTAATATCAAATCCAATTTAGCATACGGCCCAGTTCGGTTTTTCGTATTAATTTGATATGCAGATACTAAATTATGAAAATATAAATAGTTTTTCATTTTCTAACTTTTTACCTAGTATAATTTACGTACAACAATTCGACACTACTGTATTCTTGATTTTTTTTTTGAACATTTCAATGGGTATAAAATAAATTCTGTGTATGAAGTAGATAATCAAATATTATTTGTATTATTTGTACGTCAGAAATATAGGTTATGTTTTAACACATTTATTTAACATACATACCTAAATAGATATTTTAATAAACAACAATTGATGTAAGTATGTATCAGTATCATAATATATTATTGTTAACATAATTAGGTTAGGTAAATTATTGTTTGTACAAAATATCTAAGTTTTAAGTAGGTATTGTTGAAATAATAATAATAATCAGTAAGGCAACTAGTATAATACATTATACAGACAACTAAACATCACACATTAGAACAAAATTGATTCTCAAGGTCTAAAGCCTACCTACGATAAATTCTTTAAAAATGTATATACATACATAACTTACCTACTAACATAAATCAGAGATAGGTAGAATAGATAACAATATACATTTTGAATCAAGTAACAAATATCAGATATAATTCATATGAAATAAGAACCTAGGTAATAAGTGTGAGAAATATAGAAAGATTTAAGCACCAACAAAAACATCAATAATTTCATATTAGTCAGAAGAAATTCAAAAAATAAATTTAGGTTTAGGTAAAACGAGTTAACTACTAATACCTACTTGTCGTATACACATGGTGATAGAAACTAAAATGGTGAGAATAATATATCTGGTTTATCTGTATATACACACAACAGTGTAAACATACTCGATCCTAGGCTTAACTTGCAAGTTACAACATACCATAAGTACTGGACAATATAGAAGTAGCAATTTCTCACCTGCAACTGGAAGGTGAAGAAAAAATTCAAAAAAAATTTCGCGATACACACGATCAATGATCGGCACACATTCAACTATTCACATATACATAAATCATTGCAATAAGAAACAAACACGACGCGAGTAATACATAAAAAATAAACCACTACACAAATGAGTAATGACACATATCTTCTTATCTCTGTTACATTTACATTGGTCGTAATTAATATTATTATTATTAGGTACAATGACGATGTACGTAATAAGTACCTGGGTGGTTTATCGCACCTGTTTATTGGAAACGTAGATAACGTAGTTTTCGAATGATATTATTATAATAAAAAAATTAAAATATACGAAAATTGTTATTGTTATTAATGATTTTAGACATAATGATTATGATTGTAACTACTAGTGTGATGAAACATTGATCGCCGGGTGTACTCGTCGAAAAAAAGCAGCAAAAATATTAACCGTAGGAAAAATCAAAACATGGAAAAAAATATCACAAAAACGAGACTACAATATAATATTTGTCCTCACCACGCCTGGACGACGGTGCCTGTGAAAAATGACGTCAACAAGGTGAACGCTGCTTTCTGTGGGATGAGATTTCAGCAGTACCGGACGTCCTTGACCATGTTTTATTGGAAATCTCCGTACGAGATTTGTGGCGGCCCCGTCCACTGTTTTTTTTTTCTATTCCGCCCAGACGCGCGACGACGACGGATCGGCGGCTGCTGTGGCACGCAGGTCGTCGCAGTGATGTGCGTGTGGGTAGGGATTTGGCCTCCGGGGGCGCACGGTCGTCTGGCCCAAATGCCGAGCGGGGTGTCCGGAAAACCAGGACTTGGGAACTTTTAAGGGGATTTTCAAGTGCCCGGACCCGCTGAAGGACTTGCGGGCAACGTGTTACAAGCGGCTGAAGTCTCGGAGGACATGTCGTTGGGCCGGAGACAAGCGGGCAGCGGCGTTGACGGCACGCAACGACGTGTTTATAGTAAACGCTGGTGAGGCGGTGGGTCTCGACTGTTGCAGATAAACGAAAAACCAAAACCAAAAAACTCAACTTTTAGGGAAAAAAAATAATGAATAATTATTGAAAAACAATAATATTAAAAATAATAATAATAAAAATGATATTTAATAGTCGTCCAGCAGCGAGCAGTGTGGCCAGATGACGGGAACACTACCGCCACATGGTGATCCCGCACTGGGTCCCTGCTAACACGATATTATCCGTTCCTACCTTCCGTTTTCATTACGTGAAAAAAGCGAAAACATTAGAATAAAAACCGTTATAATTTCCTAAATATTAAATTAGTTCATTAGATTAACTTATTGTTGAAGTGTAAGAGAATTTAATAAAGTGTTTTTAAAGATATTTAATTATGCTGCTCGTTTACTTGTGTAGCTATGTGTAATACATCGATTAATAAATTTTTTTATAACTTTGAAAATGTTTTAATTACTTTTTTTTTCAATCCGATATTACATCATATGGCTTTTTACTATTCTGGAATACATTATGATTACAACGCTGTGTCCATTAAAAGTTTTGGTTTTTCTGGTATTTAAATATTATTTTGTGTTCGCATCGTTATCTAACAATATATTCATATTTCATATTCTACTGTTTAGATTAAGAAAAATACATATTATAGGTAGGTACTGCAAATTTCTCATCTCTGTTTTAATATCCTACATTTAAATCAAAATGGCAATGGAATTGTTGGACATGAACGAAGATTGGAAACTAGCTAATAAACTAAGAATAGAAGATTCTGAGCAATTTTACACTTTGGTTCGAATGCATTTGTCATTTATACTAGAGTCTAACCTTAAAGAGTGAGTTAAACATTCAATATTTCAATTTTATATCAGCACTTATGTTTTTTAATGTTCAGAGGGGATTGTTCAGTTGAAGAAAAATCAAAAATTAAGCCTATTAAATGGTCTTTTATGAAAAAAGACAAATGTTCTGTAAAAGGTGTTATGGATGGAGCACCAATTACTCAAGAAGGAATTTGTCAAGTCTATCAACTAATTGATTTCTTGTCTCAAGAAGAAAGTATGTACCTATATTTTGTATTTTAGCTTTGTGCATTTGATTACTAAAATATTAGCTACATAATAATGTATTCTTAAATAAATATTTTTAGATGTCATGCAAGAAGGTATATTTCGTAGAAATGGTTCAATCACCCGACAACAAGAACTAAAATCACTTTTAAACCAAGGACAAACATTAGACTTATACAATGGACAGTTCACTGTACATGATTGTGCAACCGTTTTGAAATCGTTTTTAGCTGAACAACCTGAACCAATAATGACAGAAGCATTTTACCCAGCATATTGTCAAATATCAGGTACCTTTAAATCAACAACCTATCAACATCAAACATTTATCATGATTTATTTATTAATTTTAGAATTCTGTCAAAAAATGGAGATAAACAATAATAGTCAACGTTTATTAAGAGCTCTACAACTTTTGTTGTTGTTATTGCCATTTGATAATTTAGTTTTATTAAAAGATATCATAAAATTACTTCACTTTACTGCTAAACATTCAGACAAGAACAGAATGCCACCGGACAATTTAGCAACATTATTTACTGGTCACTTAATTGTTCCTAGAAAGGTATATAGAATGCCACTTAATCTTATAATTTTATATACATCTACATACATTGTTATCAAAAATATATAAGTAAATTGAATTAAAATTAATTTAATGTATTTATAAAATACATAGTTACCAGCAGAAGAACTTTATCAGATAACTCAAAATCTATCACATATTGTCATTTATATGATTAAATTAGGATTTGATTTATTCAAAATCCCACCAAATTTGTCAGTAGACATTAGAGCTTATTGGTCCAAAAAAACTTTACAACCCGTTAAGGTATGACTTTGTTTTATTTATTTAATATTTTGTGTATAAATAATTATAATTAATTACACAATGCATCAATAGGAGGAAGGTACAGTTGCTACAACAGTATTTTCATTCACTGACCGTACAACTACCACTAAAGAAAATGAAGAAAATCCAACAGTTAAAGCATTGGCTGAATTATATGCTCATGTACATAATCTACCAGAATCTGCAGAAAAGCGTAGAATGTTTATTAAACGTGTTAGCAATCACAATTCAGTGATTACACCAAATAGAAGTCTTACAAATTCTATCAAAGTATGTAATTTTAATGTTATACTTTGAATATTTAAAAAAAAATTTACGTTTTATATTTTAGAAACACATTTTTAAAAAAGGATCAAAGTTTAAACAAGGATCAATGAAGTCTGCAGAACGACAGCAACTAAAAGTAATAAGTCACATATTATTAATGAATAGTAAAAATTATTATATAACACGTATCCACATAACATAATAAGTAGTTACTAACAAAATATATTTTTATGCAATTTACTTTTTGACCAAAGAAAATAAAGATAATTTGGTGTTAATAAAAATTATTTATAAATTAAATTATAATAAGTTTTGATTTATTAGAACATATTAAAATATAATTTTTAAAAAAGAAGGCAATTCAAGAACAAAAAGTCTTCAATGTTTTTACTTTAAATCTGAATTATTTTATAAGCTACTAAAATAAATTATTTTAAATTAAAAACAATAACATAACAACTTAAGTACAGAAATATTAATACAAACAACTATAAGAATATATATCTAACATGTATAACAGTAACAACACTGTTGACTATTATTATTTGTATAATTTGATTAACCGTGCCATACTGAAGTGCATAACTAAATAATGGTAGCATACATAAGTTTACATAGAATTTATTTTAGAAACTATTGAGTTATTCCAAAAAATAATTCATTCAATATAGTTAACTATACAAGTATTAAAAAGTAAAAGTTAATTTATATTTTGTAAAAAATGTATACACTTCTTAAAATAAGAACTGGGGTATTGAATTCGTAATTTTATTTTTTTAAGTTCTAACTTCTGAATTACAATTGGATATATTTTTATCAATTATATTGAAATAATAATTAACAGAATATATTTACTAACAGTTTGCGGAGATATATGTCATTCTTCTACAGAGTCCTGTATTGAATGACCGAGTTTTTTGTCTTAACTCTTCAAAGGGTTAAAAATAATTTATTAAATTACACATTTACAAAGTGCCTCCACTAGTAGGCCCCTTCACTCTTTGTTCCTTGAGTGAACTATTATATCAATTAAGCTGAATGTTCGATTACTTAGTAACAGATTGCCTATTAAAATAATTAAGTTTAGAAAAAAAATCTTTCAATTATTATTAAATTGAATTTTATCAACATTTATCCAAAATCTTTACAGCTTAGAGATAAAAAAAATATTTGGAAAATTAATAAAAAAAATAAAATTAATCCATTTTAAAATTGCCTAAATCAAAAAGTGTTGGTACTGTGTACTTATAAAAAAAAATCCAATATAAAATTATTGATGTTAGTTGTTAATGGTGCTTTTGTGTTTTGCTATTCCTATTCCTTAAAATTGCATGATAATACTAATCTTTGCATGTTGTGTCCATTGGTATGTGCTCAGCTTGCAGAAGAAAAATCCAAATCATCCGCAGCTACTTCTTCAGATAAAGAAAATAAGGATGATTCATTTAAAATTAAGAAAAAAGGCACAAAAAAATTACCAATTAAAGAAATGAAGTACTCTAAGATTGAAGACCATTGTTCACCTAAACTAGATCTTGACACACCAGTGGATTGTTTTTCTACACCCAATGTTGTTAAACGTATTAAACGTTGTACTAGTACACCATCTGCTGTTACCCCGCATCAGCAACATCCTAATGATGATATGTCTCCAATTACGCAGTCAGCACAGAAAATGACCAAATCTATGCAGGTAGTGAAGATGTGTTTTTTTATATGCACAAATACCAATGTATGCTTTTTAAAATTAACCTCTTATTCCAAGTTGTATTTATTCATATTGTTTGAATCAATTTAAACATATTACACCAAACTTTTTTTCAGGAAACCATGATGACTCCGAGGAGTCGTAAACCTGTAGTAGCGTTGTCAAACTCAAACATACACAAAATGAAACCTTGTAACAGTGATTCAAGTATTTCAAATTTGCAAAGCCGGCAAAGTCTAAACTCTGTGTCATCTAATCCCTATTATTTAATGACTTCCGGAGATTCACTGTCCAGTTCATTTCGAGATTATTTATTCAGTCAAAGTGTACTGACTGCTAGTCCAGTAGATCTCAGTTTTGGTGATACCAGTGCATCATCCACACAGTCATTACTTTCAGATTTGGAGGATGACCAATTACAATTCTCTAAATGTACCTCGTCCACGGAAAGTTTACCGAAAAGAAAACGATTAACAAGTGAAAATTTTAATGAAACATTACTGTGAGATAACTTTATACATATCATGTTAAATTGTTTTATTTATATATAATTAGAAAATGTATATTTTCTTCATTTTTGTGTCTTCCATGTATATAATTAAAAAAAGATTCTTTCAAACCTAAAACAAAATGTATTATTGAACTATATTCCAAAAGTATGTATTCTGTATGAATTTGTTTGATTATTGAGTATGCTGCATTTAATTTATCAAAATATTGTAGTTAAAATTTATTTAAAATTTGAGTATCTAAAGCATAAAATACTATATATTTTAATATTACATTATTACCCAAAACCAGTTTTCAACAAAATTGATTTTAAATGTTGAGCTCACCTATAGCTATGATTTTACAATAATGCAATTTTTTTGTCTACCATCAACTTTTGTGGTAGTGAAAATGCTCCGATGTGGCAGTAGCTGGTGCTTTAGAGAGTAAATTCCAAATTGTATTAGAAACGCGTTGGATAAACCCAAAAAAAAGGTATAAGCCAAAAATCCAAATTCACGTAAATAAGTGGTGGCAAATAGTAATAGTTATGTTTTTGCCTTTTCGCTTAAAACTTATTTTTAAAATTATCATAACTATATAGTATTTCAAACTTGTCAGAATACGACTGACATGATTAGGTCATGAAAGGTACGACCCGTAAACATTACTTTAACCATATGGCTCTATCAATTAATTTTTCTAGAAAAATCCCAGAAGTGGTGCATATTATGTTATCAGAATTTTCGTGGTTATTATCGAATCCAATGTCCGAATCGGAATACTCGAAATACATTTTTCGTTACAAGACTCAATTTGAAATTGACAAAAATTATAAATAATTGTTTATGAATCACAGTATGCCGGCACGTACACAAAAAAAAATTTGGGGGGGGGGGGGTCATAAGCAAATTATCACCGACCAGTTATTGTAGTTATCGATGATTGATATAAATAAATTACACAACTATTAATTTTAAGGAGGGGTTTGAACCCCCACCCCCTCCCCCTGTATACGTGCCTGACAGTACGATAATATCACAATGGACAATGTTGGAATAGACATTAAAGATAGAAATATCCTATATGCAATAAACAAAAAACAAGAAGCTGAAATTAAAATTAATTCCACAATAAAGACAGCTAATCTACAGAAAGGAGTAATACAAGGATGCCCACCTGTCACCCTCTTTATTTAATGTCTACGTTGAACAAGAGATATAAAGCAAAAGCTAGAAGAATAGGAATAGTAATAGGAGGTATCCTAGTATCAATGATACGATTTGCAGATGATATAGGCGATATAGCTTTACTCGCTGCATCTGAATACGATCTACAATAAACAGCACTTATTGAAATGGATGACGTATTTTCAAATTTCAAATTAAATATAAATACGGAAAAAACAAAAATAATGGTATGTAGTAAACAAAATTAACCAAACAGTAATATATCCCTAAAAAGAAACAATAGAACAAGTAAATCAATTTAAATATTTGGGAAGCATAATAAGTAATGATCGAATATCAAAAAAGGAAATAAGAAGTAGAATAGGGCAAGCCAAAAATGTAGATCTAAGAACAAGAAAACGATTAATTAAAACATATGCATGCAGTACAGCATTGTATGGCAGTGAAACATGGACGTTGAACAAAAATGAATATACCACTCTAGAAACTTTAGAAATGTGGTGTTGGCGTAAAATGGAGAAAATAAAATGCACGGAAACGAAGACAAACGAAGAAGTACTAAATTTAGTCACAGAGAAAAGAACATTGCTAAATAATTGAAAATCAAGACGTTGGATTATGATAGGTCATACGATAAGACACAACGAAGAACTCCATAGCATCATATTGGAAGGTCTGATGGAAGGGAAACGCGGAAGAGGTAGGCCAAGAAAGTGTTATATAAGTCAAGTAATCAGAGATGCAAGAGTTGATTCGTACAAATAACTCAACGAAGAAGCACAATAAAATCATGGAGAGAACATTTATTGTAGATCAATCTACGGATTGAATATTAAAAAAAAAAGTTGGTATCGTAATTTTTTCTCACAGAAAGATTCACAATTTGTAAAATAACAAATTAGACAGCAATAGGCCAATATGAGTAATAAATATTACTAAGACGTCTATTATAGTATAACAGAAACTGAATAATACCAAAGTAACAAGCCCGGATGTTCATTACTTTTGTATCTTTTTTGGAACATGATGGACTATGATTTCCATGCTTAAAATGTGTTTCAATAACATATCAAGGGCGAATCCAAAATTTTTAAGGAGGGGGGCGGGGTTTAATTAAAAATTATTTTTTATTTTTCATGGTTTTGACGAATTTTGTCAAAATTTGAACTTCAGTCGCTCTTAAAAATGTATTGTGAATTTACGCTCAACTTATTTTTATAATTTCTAGCTACAACAAATTATGGGGAAACGCCCAAATACCGTTAATGCCTCGGTATTTACATTTTACAGTGCTAACACAAAACACCAAAGGTTTTTCAACATGTAAATGCGAGCTACTTGCTTCCTTAAGAGCCATTGTGGTGTCTTATGCTCGAGAGAGATAACACTGGGATGAAAATTGAGTCCATTCCTCCTCCAATTTAAAATTTCGTTAAATATTAATACATTTGCTGGCTACGGACAGCTGGACCAGCCTGGACCTTCCCTCACTTGGCTATGTCCCTGATGGATATCGCCGAACAAAAGATGTAAAAAAAATTAAACAATATCTTTTTATAATATAAAAATATATTATATTGTTATCATTTGAAGTTTTATACTTGTATTTTTTTTTTTTACATTTATTTGGAAAATATGCAATCTGTAAGGTTAGTTTACAATAGGCATATATGCGGTGTTTATGTGTTTTTACGTGAGTTTACATGAGTTGTAAGGAACTACCCAACAGTTGTACTTATGGCGTGAGGGATACTTGTATTTAAATTTTAAATATGCTATTTTAATATATGTTCATGAATATACTAAAATAAAACATTTGACCATATGCAGACTCATGCATTTGACAATAGTTAGACACAATATGTACAATATATAGATATGAAGAAACTTTTTCTGCCGAGCCATAAGGTTTAAATTATTGAAATTGTCACATCTCATAATCTAAATATAAAATTAATAATATGCATAATGATACTCCACAGACACCCAAACACGACTGATTAAAATGTTAAGTGGGCGTTCATTATATACTTTTACAGCTTTCGGCTTTAGTTAGTATAGGTACTTAGTTTTATGTTGAACACGATGGGTGTTTTTAAAGTGGCCTTATTTTATACATGCGTGGTATTTTTTCTAGGTAAATTTCATTCATTTTGAAAATTTTGTTTTTTATAAAAATAGTATTTATAACGATTTATGAATCAATTATGTATTTTTAGGGAGCAGTCAAAACAGTGAAGGATGCAATAATGATTTAACTGGTTCATCTGCTGCTGTAAGACTCTCAAATGATTTGTTTTGCTCTTACGATAGAAACGTAAGACCTGTAATGAACCAATCGTCTCAGACGTCTGTCGAGACCAAATTTTACATTTTCAATGTTCATATGGTAAATACAATTTTTAATTTTAATTTATTAAGCCTATACCCTACAATGTTCTACTCCTATACATTATACAATTAATTGTAATATTACCTATTTACCTGGCAAAACCTTAGTCAGGTACCTCGTACCTATATATACCTACTATAAATACAGAACAAATTCAAGGAGAAGAGTTAATAGGTAAAAAAAAAATACATTTAATTATACATCGTTAATGATTAATGATTATGGTGATAATTATTTATGGTTTCGAATTATGATTTGATCACAATGCTGTATGACAACGATATTTTTAAATATCATAAAAGTCTATGTGGATAATGTCTATACAAGAAATATTTCTGTTCAAAACATTTCAGAGGGAGAGGAGAACCCCTAGCTGTCCCATATATGTGTACCTGTATTAAGCTAGTTATCCGTATTTTTCAGTATATATCTTTATTGGGGATGGTAACAATATTCTAATATCCTTATTATTCTAATATGGATATCCAAATCCGGTTTTGTTAGATTTTAATTTTATTTTAAAAAAAAATTTTTAATTCAAAGTTAAAACAAAATTAATATATTTTTATTTATGTCTACACCCTGTTAAAGTTGAGAAACGTAGTCAGGCAACGCTCGTTTGTCATCACTCATCACCTTTCAGTCAATTATCTGTAGACTTGCCGTGTAGTATTGCCACGCCCCTGAGCACAAGTCGGCCGTCGACTACGTTTCTTAACTTGAACAGAAGGCAATAGCTGTACATTTTTATAATAAGTAATTTAAACATGTACACTGGTTGAGTATATAAATTCCTAGATATTCCCGTTACTAAATTCTTAACATAGTTTATTAGCCACCGAAAATTTTCATATTAATCATTATTAATTATTATTAAAATTATTATTATTTTAGAACGAAAAATGGGACATTTTACAAATGAGTATTCAATTAATCATGGTAAGTATAATAACTTAAATTTTAAATTATAAGTACTATTAAATGACGCAACTAGGTACAACTTCTTCAATATTCTCAATTCCAAAATGTATAAATTTAGAATTTTTCTAAAAATCTAAAGTTAATGGTTTAATAATACGTAACACTGTAACAGGCAACAGCTATAGGTAACAATAGTTCCTAAGGGCTAAACAATATTAAATTAATTATTATATTATGCGGATTATTATAGAAGCTATGTCCTATAGTCCATACTAAACTAAATGTTACATGTTATATTGTATATAATATATATATCACGTAAAATTCTAAAATTATTGTTGTGGATTAAAATCAAATGTTTAATAACTGAAAATAGGCACTCAATTGAATTTTGATTTTATTATAATTTTTTAAAACAAATCATTTAATCAACAATTCATAAATTATTAATTTAATTATATATCCATTAGAAATATGTTTGGAATTTGTATTGCCACAAGATACTTCTTAAGTGGTATAAAAAATCCAAGTAGGTATTTGAAAATATGATCGTTATTAGTATATACCATTGATTTTATAATATATTATAAAATCAATGTATATACTTAAAAATTAAAAAAATTCAGAAATTTAATAAAATTTGTATTATTTAAGGATAAAAGGAGATATCCCTAAATACTGGATGTATTCACGGGTAAATATATAGCGAGCCTGCTTTTAAATTATTACTCCAAGTGACTAAGTCTCAGTTTCTCCAAATAGTTTAATAAATCACTTGAAAAAACAATCATTAAAATTGTGGTTTGGATTTGGTTTTTTTTTATTTTCAATCACTTTGAAAAGAAATATAGTGACTTCATTATTTCAAACCGAAAACTTAATCTTGAATAAATTATTTTGATTACTGTTTTTATAACATTTTTTCATTAATTTAAAATCATATTTATCATTTGTTTTATTGATCTAATAAGCATATTTAAAAAAATCTATACAATTTATTATAAGTTCAGTGGTGATTTTGAAGGGCAGTTATCCGATAATTACAAAGAGGTGGGTGGGGGACAGGTGTATGAATACTGTATTAAGTGAAAAATTGTAGTACCTACAAAACTAACTTCATCTGAATACGGTATTTAATAAGAATAATAACTTCAATAATAAGTATAATTATACTATAACTACACCCAAGTAGTCATTAGTCAAAGTGGTTCAAAAAATAAATTGCTCGATAAAATAAGTAACTTCTCCACACCACTGATTGATTATGTACTTATGTATATCAAATTTTAGCACCTCTGCACTTTACACTTACCGTGTGACTTTAGGCATACTGTTTTATACTAAGTTTATTAATTGGTACTTATTTTCCTACTATGACAATATTACTTTGTAACCAAAAAAAAATAAAAATACAATTTTTGCCTAGTTGCGTCAGTCATTGTTTAAAAGTAACATAATACACTAAACATTTTCACATAGGAATGGAAAGATGAATTTTTAGTTTGGGATTCTTCAAAATATGACAATATTGAAAAGGTGTATGAAGAATCATCCCATATTTGGTTACCTGATATTATGTCATATGATATGTAAGTCGATATGACAATACTATATGCAATATGCTTGTATAATATATTATAGTTGGGTAGATGAGTTTTAATCTGATTGCGTAAGGTCCCTACAAGGCTACAAATGTACAATTTACTTTTTTGGAAACATAGTACCTATGGATAGCTAGGATTAAAATTATAGCTGTCTGTGTGGGTAAAAGGAATAAAGTAAGTTTGCTATTTTGTTTTAAAAACATACAAAACAGATTTTAAAAAATACTCTTGATGGAAAAAGTCAGTGGTTCCAGTGCATTGTTCCATCGTATAGTTTAATACAATACTTTTGATCTGATTTTATTTAAATAATAGTCTAGATTTTTGTATTATATTGGCATATGTGGGCATGTGGCCAAATTACTAATTTTGTAGTTGTTTATATCACTTGTTTGCTTACTAAACACCTGAGAATTAATGTGACTCTGCCGCGACATACTACCCTAAACTCTTAAAATCTGTTTTTTATATTAATTGTTGATATATATGGGTAGTAGGAACTTAATTTTTTATTGAACAAGATAACCAAAATACAAAATATCAATAACAAAATAACCATTATTGCTCAACAGAATCCAATCAATGAAGTAAAACTTAATTGTTATCACCTTTATGTCTATTTTATTTTTATAAGAAACAGTTTACAAATATTATATTTAATATTATTTGCCTATAGGTATCTATAATTATAAATGAATAGGTGTTTACGAGTATATTAATAATTAATATTACTTATTAGTCCACGTCACAAATCAAAATCTGATAACAATTTATTCGAATGCGTATTTTGATCGTTTTAATAATCATTTTATTATTTTTTTTAAACATTTATTATCTATATATTTTTACTTTGGTAACTTCTCATATTATAAAGTTTTCTAGAATTATTAGATTTATGGAACTACAATTTTAAATACAAGTATACATTTACAACATCAACACTATTATAAATCAACAGTATAATTATTATCATTTATTTATTACCTAAATGTAGAAAATAGTTAAATAAAATTGGAACTGAAAAAAACCGAAAAATTCCCTTCCAACAAATATCAGTTCCTGGTTATATTCCTATGAAAATCAAAAAAGGGTTTCAGTGAACTTCCCGTTTCAATATTTTCAAAAGGTTCCTGTTAAAATAACAGTATTTTTAATTTCAGTTCAAACTTTCCAAGCCTTGAATTTTTAATATGTATTAAATTGGCTGGAGAGCAATTTTTTTATCGGTACCATTTTACTCTTGTCTCTTGAGATTGAACACATTTGTCATTGTTTCAACTAGAAACTCATTGTAATATTGACCAGATACTACATGTTTTGGTGAGGGAGTACTATGGAATTGGTTGTTTTACATTAATACATTATATATTTATGTGAAAGCTCTCTGCAGCTCTGCTGTCTATTGTACCATAGATTTATTTTATAATAGTAGTACATCATATAATATGTGATCCATTTAACGTGCCGTTCATTATTTCAAAAAATATAAGCGTTTTTGAAAATATTTTTTACGTAACTTAATAAGCGGTCTTAAAAAAAATGTCTATACTTTATTTTTTGAATGTCAAATATTTTTGTATTCTGAAATGATGTGTGAATATTACGTTAAATTGACCATTCCGTATATATAATATAATTATTAATATTATAGTAATATAGTAGTTGATCGTTTATACGGTTCGCTTCAGGGTAAAACGTTTGGAAATTATAAAGAACTTAATAAATTTATTCAATAAACATAATAATATAAGACTTATAATCTTTACATTTTTGGATTCGGAACTATACACTACTACACTGTATATAGTGACATAGTGTGTATTATAGCGATTATTATTAAGTTATATAATCTTTACAATATGTATAATAAAATAATATTTTTTAATTCATACTCTAATAATTTATGAAAATATATTTTAGGGGATTCAATGGTGATGATAATAGAGATTTTTCTTACTTTTTACCCTCAAGTATGGTGAAAATATCTAATAAAGGACTGGTTAAATATAATCACCGTATAACTCTAAATGCTCAATGTTCAACCAATATAGCTAAATGGCCGTTTGATTCCCATAACTGCACTTTTCTCATAGGATCTCCTGTATATACCAACACATACGTAAACTATACATTTTCAGATGGATATTATGTGAGTATATATTTTTACATTATTTTTAAATACAAAGTGTAAATAGTATGTATGGTGGTTATTCTATAAAAAAAGGATATCGTAGTTTTGATTAATAAAATATAGTAATAATATAATTTACATAGAAGAAATAATAATACCTAACTCATTTAATTTTTATCTTTTTATATAAACATAAAATCATACGATTATCAGAGTTAAAAAAACCAAATCTTTATGTTTTATGGTTGTTAATACCTAATTTCTCATTGAAATATTATATATATGAACAGAGCCGCGTTACTATACACGATTTTAATTCATTTTTTTTTATTACTTACTTTTACAGGATATGGATTATTATAAACCTGATAGAGAATGGGAAGTTAAAACTATACATCAAGAGTGTATGAATATAAGATATTCAAATTCAAATTCAAATTCTTCTTTTCATTGCATCCTACAATACGAAATAAATGTTGCCCGATTCTCATCCATGTACTATTCGTCCATTATAATTCCGGCAATTGGTATGATAAATAATTAGATGTTTTGTATACGTTATAATATAAAGTTATATATTTTGAATTGCCTCCTTATTAATACTTGACATTTTAGTGATATCATTGATGAGAACGTTTACGTTTTTAATGGGACGTGAATCCACCCATCGATTAATTTTATTATGCTTAATTTTCATTTCCGAATTTCTGTACATACAATTCTTGGACACGAAATTACCAAATAATGGCAAACAAACTGTACTCATAGGTAAGCTATAAATATCTACACTTATGAATATTTTAGGTAAATCGATACTTATCTTAATCATATTATTATATACCTATAAAAGTAAAGTGTATTATAAAAGATACGTCAAAACCATGTGTTACATTTCAGTTCTATTGTACCGCAACTCACTAATTTTAACAGCAGTAGCAATTATTATAACTGTTATTAGTAATGAAATGTATAAACATAGTACTGAAGATTTTCCTCGTAATGGTCCTGAATGGCTCAAGTCTGTATCGACATTTCTTTTAAATAAAAGACCAATTTCTATGCTAACTAATTTTAACACCCAGGTAAAATACATAATTTAATCAAACTTTAAATTTTATAATAGTTCCATATTAATAGTGTTTAAATTTTAGGGAGCAGAACTTTTAATTGAAAAAAACGTGGAAGAGGAGACTCCCAATACTCAGAGAGACGAAAATGCTTTATTTTGGAAAACACTGGCCATCTTATTAGATCGTTTATCGTTTATAATAACTTTGGTAATTTCATTGATAAATTTATGGTTTTTGATACCCTAATTAGATTTACTTGTGAATTAAAAAAAAAACAATGATAACTTTAATTTAATTTATATTTTAATTTGTAAAAGTATAGGTATAATGGATATAATGCTCTATATATACCAATATATCATAAAATATATTAAATTATTAACTGCAATAATTTTAATGGATCTATTATTTTTTAATTGTGAATTATTATAATGGGTACTAAATGTATAGTATATATACTAATATCTATATGGTTAATAGCTATAAAATATAAAATTGAATAATACGTAGGTTCTTAAAAAGTTCTTGTAAAATAATTTAACTTTAATTTTAAATTAGTTATATTAAAATCTACAAATCTTTTGTGTGCCTATTGTAAAGAACATTGTGTTAACGAGTAACTGCGACTTATACTTTATATACTGTATCATGTTTGAGTATCACATAGTCCGCCAGTGTTATATTTAGGTGGTGATTGGAAAAGGGGGAGAGTAGATCTCTGATTTGTGTATCTTTTTAGATATTAACAATTATTTTATAATATTTTTCAGTATTTTTTCCATTACGGTAAAATATATAGTAAGGAAAAATTTAATTAACTATGATGGGTAATAAACAAAAATGTTATTGCGCATATTTTGAGATCCCGCAGTCGAAACTCCGTACATTTTTAATATAATATCATTAAAAAGAAGATTCATATCTGCAGATTAATTAATTAATTTTAGACCTTTATATTTTATTTTAGTATTTGGATTTGGTAATTACACACCTATTTTTAGGTCACGTGGTGTATCTTTATTTTACTACTTTTACAAGGATTATCTACAATTTATTTGTCCAAACATTTCTTAAGTAGTTTTTTAAATGGTTGTATGTTTCTATAACTATCCCAATAAGTTACGCATATGTACCAACGATTTATAAACACTGCTTATACCTTCATAATTTATTAAAATAATACTCAACAAATATCAAGGTATCAGTAATAATTTTTATATACAGGTATACAGGGTGATTTTTTAAGCACGTTCCCCGCATCACCCCATGAGAAAAAAAGTTCAGGGATATTCTCCTCGGAGAGTGAAGTTATAGTGAAGTGAATAGACTTGGTGTCATTCATTTTGTCTACCCAATACATGTACCTTGTTTTAAGAAGGTGGAGGTGTCTTGCATATACTGGTACAGAGCGAAGCTAAGTTATGGTCTGTGCTGGTGGTTAATGCTATATTAGCTTTGTAATCAGCAAATTACCAACGGTAGGATATTTGAATATTTGATTCGTGTTTGGATGATCATAGATGAATAGATTAAAAACAATGGGGCGTAGACTGCACCATCAGGAACTCTGTAATTTATGCTTGATGTGGGATTTATAAATAGCGAAGCTCACACGCACTGAGAAAAACGATTGGTAGGTAAGATTTTAATTTTAAAATTTTATTGTACTGACTATTTAGAAGGCATTTTAGCTTAATTATTAAAGTATAGGTATACCCATGGCTTAAATATACAAGGTTATTGCAATAGTACCCCCACTATATCATTTTATCACGTTAAGGAATTAAAATGGCAGCGTAAGGGGACGACGTATACTGGCTATATTATGATATTATATGCTATGATATGGACCGTACCCTTACGCTGCCATTTTATTTTTATTTGATAACAATTTGGCTATGTGCAATAACCTTGTATATTTAAGTCATGGGTATACCTGCATGAAAACCATATCAATGACTTGGGAGATACCAAAGAAAGCACCATTAAAGTATATTTTTTATATCAAACCGAATGAGATTCTTCAACGACTTTAAGGTATCATAATTCGTAGGTTTACAGGTTCATTGTTCCAACTTCAATTGTTTGTTATCAATAGGTTTCACTATATATGAAAAAAATATGAAAAGGAAGAGGCACAAAGGGAAATGCATTTTAAGAAGTGAAAAAACAATTAACATATTAAAAAAACTTGAATTAACAATGAATTTATTAAATACCTAATGCCTCAATGGCCATTAAAACAAATTGGAAGAGGTTTGGGAATCCACATAGGTAAATCAAGAAACAAGAACATTGGCTTACCTAATACACGAACAGACAGAAATCAGTAATTAAATTTATTTAGTTAAAATTATTGAATTATGGCAAAAAAATAAATGTAATATTTTATCATTATAACTATTTTATTATTATTTTAACTATTTATATTACATAATTGCTACCACTTACCAACAACTTTCAATGAGTTTCATAATGAGTTAGTATTTATTGGCTGTTCTCTGTGTATGATCAGAAAATTACTGTTTAAATCATAATGAAATGTTTGAATTCTTTAGAGCGAATACAAGCTAATATAAGACTAGTTTCATAAGAACTATTACAGTGACTTTAATTTTTTAAGGGGGGATACATTTTTTTATTAGATTTTTCAGTTGAAGGAATGGAAAATTGAAAACGATTTATACAATGTGTATACTATATACATTTATAATAGCCAATAGGTAGGTAGTAGGTACCTATTTTCGTAAAATTTTATTAGCTATCAAATTTTTTAATATTTTTACAAAAATTATGTAGCTGAAAAATGGAAAAACGAATATAGGAGAAACCAGGATACAGTGAGAAATGGGGCACACTGAGGCACGATTCATACTTCCCGCTAAATTGAATAATATTATAATTTGCTTAGTTATTTAACCATACTGAATGATGGTCACAAAGTACATGACACATATGTCTTTTGGATGAAATATTTTGTGGAATTACTTATTTTTGGTAAAATTTGTTATGGAGCATAGATTTGTTTAATAAAACTACAAAAGTTAAAAATGTGCTTCATAGCACAAAATATACTTTTTAAACCAAAACACTTTAGGTGTAAATATAATATATTTATTCCACAAAAGCTATATACTTCCAACAGATTTTCAACGTTTTAAACAACGTTGTTTAAAATCCCTGATTTTCAATTATATTATTTATTCCAATGTCCATAAAAACATCTTCCAGTAATATCATTACTTGTTCCAAAAAATATTTCTTCCGGTACCTATTACCATTGATTATAAATACTACTAGTATATTTTATAATCAATGCTATTACCTAACCACTTTGTCCACAAAACATTTGCTCCAATGGTGATTTGTTCCAAACTTTTTTTAAAACAATGTTGTATGGAAATGAAACTATAGATAATATTTACCTTTATTGTTAGATCATTTATATTATATTAACCCTAAAAAAGGCATTGGTATTAATCAGCATTGGAAATTGGAATAAATATAAAATAATATAGTTCGTATTTCGGAAGCGAGAATGGGCATAAAAAATTGGAAGTGTTGCAATTGCTTAGTCGATTAGTGGCATAAATAGCTAGTGGAACAAATTTTTCTCAAAAAAATAATTAATATTTTACCTACCAAGGTGAATTGATAAACCTTGATATCTACATTTTGGATATTAATTCAATGTTTACAACATAACCATTATTTATATAATATTCATAATAATAATTATTTTGATTTAGGACTATTGCGTTCTGCGTAGGTTTATCCTATCCCCTAGGAATACTAATTAGTAACTAATTGATTAATTTAACCATTTAAAGGTCCAGGAGTCGACTAGCCGACCAACATATTTTTACAACATTTGAAATGTTGTACGAAATCCACGAGAAAAGTCAGATTGCAATTACACCATTTACACCTCGATTGTAAATTAACACATACCTAGATAAGTTTCTGTCCAACAATAATATCATAATCATTATTCCTTCCTTGTTTTGGGTTCTATCTTACGAGTTTACGTCGTTTATGACATAAGTTATAAGTTTATAACCAAATAAACATAATAAATTAATAAATCCCATAAACAAATGTTGCGTCACGAGTTCACGACTCACGACAACAAATATCATGTCGAGCGCGAAGCGCGGTGGCTGTGTCTGCCACGGCCAGTGCAGTGCAGACGACGTGCAGTGTCGTGCGCGCACGGCGCGTCGGCGCACCGTCTGCACTACGCCGTCGGGCGCACAAATCCTGAAATGCACAATATCAACGCCGTCGTCGGTGCAGCACCGTCGTTATGATGGTGAGGAGGAGGAGGAGGAGGAGTCGTAATGTTGTTCCAACAACAACACCACTACCCTCCGCCACCGCAGGCCAGAGCCGCTCGCTAACTCCGTCTCTGTTATCAGGCATGCGACGCGTTGTTGTTGTGCGTGCGTGACCGATCGCGTCCATTTACCCCGTGTGGCCGTGTGTGTCCCGAGACGCGATATCATCATCATCATCATACAATATACATATCCACCGACCACCACACACACACACACACACACACACAGACGCGCGCGCGCATACGAGTCTCGAGATCCTTTTTTTTCGTTATAAGAGATATAGTATTTATTTTTCTGCTAAAAATTAAGAGAAAACTATGAGCATTACCGTTGCGGTGAACGCGACCGACAGTGCGAATGGTCCGCAAGCGGCCGTTTGTCAATCGGCGGCGCAACACAACAATTGTGGCGACTACAACGGTGGCGTCGACGGCGGCAACGGAATCGGCATCGTCGGCGGCGGAGTCGGCATCGGCGTCGACGACGACGACACTGCCGTTTTTGTCCACGAAAACAAGGAACTACAACACGAACAGGTACGAGTGTTCTCTGAGATGTTATTAATTGTTGTTTTAGCCAGATGACGAGTTAGTTGAATTGGGGTCCACTCTTGTTGTCTGGTGAGCTACAATGTTTGTTAACGAGTTACCCATGTGCCGTGTACAACTGCTGTGATGCCTATATGGTGCTGATGATTAGACATTTGATCGGCGACCGTGCAAGTTTTTTATTTCGTCCGATCGTTTTTGTAGGTGCTCCTCGGTATAACATGGTATTGGCCTGTAACAATAAGTATGATTGTTGACGTTACTATCGATGATGCCCCATGCGTATAATTTATAAAAGTTTAATAATGTGTTCTAATTTTTGCAATACCCAATAACTTATGGTGGTGATCATCGCACCATTATATTTTTGTCGGAAACAGTACACAGTTAGGGTATTTTCTTAATGAACATTTGTATGATTTTCTTATGAGGACAAATTGTTCA